ACACCTAAATATAAATATGTCAAATTTTAAATAATTATTTTTAAAGAATTTAACATAGATGTAGATAAATTTTTCTTAAAAAATATAGTTGTTAATATATATTTGAAATTCAATAATTAATAAATATTTACATAAACAAAAAATATAAATAAAAAATTATATTATTAATTAATTTATCAATTTATATATAATATATAAATATATGTTTTAATGTATTGTATCAGTAATATTTTCTATATTATATTAATGATAGTATAGTTAATTTTACGTATATTTGTTAATTGAAAATAAAAAATTAATAAAATAAATAAAATTAAATATTTTATAATTATTTTTTTTAATATAGTGTATTGCGTTTAAATTTTTATATTAAGTTTTATCACATATTTTTTATTAAGATAAAAGTTTAGAAATATAAGTTATTTTAATTTAAATATTAATTTTATTAATTTTTATTATACTCATATGTTATTTTTTTGTATCCATAAATTTTATAATATAAATATTTTTTATCTATAATTTTTATAATGACGATATTTATTTAATTTTTTAAATATAATAATTAATCAAATTTTGTGAGTGTTATTTTTTGTTATTAATTTTATCTGTTTACTATGATTTTATTTATTGAATATAAAATGTCTTTACATAAATAAAATATAATCATCATAAAAAATAATTAAAATATTTAATACTTTAATAATTTTATAAAATTAAATTAAAAAATATAAAAATATAAAAATTTTATAATATGAAAATATTTATAGTTAATGTTCAAATAATATTTTTTAAATTATTTATAAAATTATATAAAAAAATTTATTTTAATAATTATCAATAACACATAAAAATTTAAAAATATATAAACTAATTTGATAATAAAATAATTATAGTTTTATTAATATTAAACAAATTTTTTGTAACAAACTTTTTTAACAAGTTTTAGATTTTTAACAGATAACAGGCCAAACTTAGGCCTAATAATTATATTACAGGTCAAGTCTATTTAGAGTAAAATCTGACCTGACTTAACTTATTTCTATCCTTATATACATGCTTATAACTAAGTTTAAAATTAATCTATTAATTATACTTTAAGTAGAGGTATTAGTTATGGGCTTCAAAAGTGTCTTTTGCCCTTCATACAACTCAAGGGTTGCTTATGAACTCTAAATTTTGAAAGATTATGGGTACTGTTGTCACTTTTCCGTCCACATGCACCTTCCCACCACTAAGGATTCCACTTGCAAAGCCATTTACTAGGCCGTTTCATGTGTGATTCGCTGTATACTCCTCCCGATATGTTAATTTTATAATTTTCTTTTGGAAATTAATGCACTCATAACTAAGTATTATTTGTGACCTACCTTTTATTTTGGTTGACTTGTGACAACCGTGCCCTCACTACTGCGCTGGCAAACATACATAACCTAAAATTGCAACCAGAGGATCCAAATGAAGTACATAAAAAGAATATAAACAAGAAGAAACAAAAGAAAACTCAAAGATTCCCATATGTTCAATAAAAAAACGAAGAAGTGGCTCCTCACACTTTGGATGATCATTGGGTCTCAACTACTCGCATGCATAGTTGAATGAAAGTGCTTTGGAATAATAAATCAGATAGCCATGATATTGTTGTTATACAACAGCTACCTGCAACAAGTACTAGAAAGAATATGCCAGGTTGGTGAGATGTATCGCTGTTTTACGCACGCATTTCCATTTCCTTGTCGAAGTGTTTCCCAATGTTTCATTACGTTGCTTCTTGATTTTCTGGATTCTTGTGAGTAATAATACATGCCAAACAGATACTACACTATTTCAGCCATGGAAATGTATTTAGTATTAATCACATTTGCGATGAAACTTTTAAAGTCGATCGGAAAAAGAAATCTCTCCGTAATATGATTTGAGTGAGTTTCTATATTTGAAATCTCAATAGCCATCTACTATATATGTTCGTGATTCATGAAGATAATTGATATGGATTTGAGCTGTTTGGAATAAAAATAAATAAATCTAGCCACATATATTTATTTAATAATCAAAATTTATTAAAATTATAAAAGTTGTAAAAATTATATATTTTTTTCTTATTTTTAATTCAACGTTTCTTTTTTAGCTTACAATTCATTGTTTCTTTATCATAATTTTTTACGCTTTAATAAATTTTATACAATAACTAAACGTGTTAAAAAAATTATATTGAAGTGTGTGGTTAACATTTCTTTTTAAAAAAAGTATAAAATATGATAAAGAGTATAATTCAGGAAAAAAAATAGTATAAAAAATTATTGTAAAAATACAAAAATTATTATAAAAATAGTATTACTCTCATACATAATATTGTGTATTCACCTGAAAAGTTTTACAATAATTAGATTGTAATATCTCATAATCTTTATGACTATGGTTTAAAAGTTCGATCCAAATCATATGGCATATATTAATTCCACCGTTGATTTATGCATTTTAGTTAGCCTAAAAATGTGGGATATGGTTGAGGTACGTAGTTTGTAACACAAATATATTTTCGATACAGATACCTTTTCACAAATCACAACATGTTTTTCCCCATTTTGACGGCACAAAAGATATCCGAAACCATTTGCCATTTTTTATGCATTTTCCGTTTCTTTTGTCCGAAGTCTTCTGGGAAAATTAGTGAAGTAAGACACTGAATTAGTCTATGTCCTCATGATATAACCTTCAAAACCTGGCTAATTGCTGACTCTCTTCTTCCCACGTAGTTTGAATATTCCTAGGGTTTGGTTAATTGACTCTCTTGTTTATGTTTATAGAAATGCTCCAACATTATTTTTATCTCAACAAAATTAAAATTTTTGTAGAAATTTAAAAATTCTTCCCAAATATGTTTCAACCTACAAATTGAGTATCTCCGTTCAAGAATTATAATTAATGACTTCAAAATTGACTCTTCACTAATCATGCTTAAGGTTTGTTTACTCTTTTTTCGCATCTGTATTGATGCTTCTTCATAAGCTCCCTACATACAGTGGTGATATGACTTCTTTCAAATTGGATCAGTTAATTACTCTTCACTTTTCAAAACCACCCTACCTTGCAAATATCAAATATGTTCTTATCAAGCATTATATTCCATAGAAATTTGCCGTGCATTGAAACACTAACTTAATCGTTATTTTTTATTTATTTATTTAAATTTTAATTTACTATTCTCATAAAAAAAATATCATATATGAGCTCGTACTTAATAGTTAATTATATGGTGTGCGTTCTATTCGCTGCCATGTTATTTTCCAATTGAATAGTTCCAAACCCTTTACTGAATGCATAAAATATTAAATAACTTTTATATTTTAAAATAATAAAAATATATATACTTTTATTTAATATTTTGCTTATAAAGTAAGAGGATGATTATTAAAAATTATGTAAAGGAATATAATAAAACTCTTTGCAATTAGTTCTTAGGGTTTCCCTTTTTCGTCGCTGCATTGTAGGTTTTCATTCTTCCTGTATCAAACCATCAGAATGAGCATGCAACGGATACTTCTATTCAATTTTCTTATCACACATACATTAAAAATTTTGTTCTTATACATTTAGTTCTTTGTATTTATACGTAGCTAGCCAGTTATTTTCGGACGTTGCGAAAAAAGAAAAAGATTTAGAAATGCAGCCTTGCCACGCAATGACATTGACGTCTGATAGTTAGACTTTGCATTTTTCTTTGAGGTTTATTTTGCCTCTTTTTACGATATAAAGATATGGTATTTGGAAAACAGAACTCTTTCTTTGATAAGCAACACACACACAGACACACATATATAAAGTAAATTATATTAATTGTACAGTTACTGTTATACTCTGCAGCACGGTGAACCTTAGCAGCTGATATATGTAGGAACATGTAGCTAAACTTGATCAGCTATTTCAGAAGCTAATTTAATTAGCTTGGTAGTTATAATGGATGAAAAGGCGGTACGATATCGACGGTTGATGAGAACCATGTATATGTATATGGATCATGTGAGAATATTAATTTTTACTTTCAACAAAATTTCATGCATTATTCATTTCCAAAAACATCCTAAAATTAGTTGTTCTCTTTCATCCTTGAAAAGGTTTTGGGATAGTCTGGGTTGAAGAAGCGGACCGGAGACTTGCAACGTTCCAACTATTTCTTTTTGTTTGTTGATCATTGATTTTCTTTCTAAATAATAATCTGTATCAGAAGCCTGATTTTGATAATTTTTAACATAAAGCTATATAGTGCGTAGTTTGAAATTAATTAATTGGTTCTTTTAACGTGTGTTCAGGGCCACATATTAAAAGACATCAAATATACCCCATTAAATGCTTAGTGTTACTGTGAAAATTATATATTGAATTTTTATTATTATTTTAAGGTAATAAATATTCTCATTTTCAATAATTATTTTTTTATTTTATTTTTAACCATATATTGGTAAAAGAGAATGGATGCACATAACGTACTTTCAGTGATTACAAGGTATATACTTTGCGCAGAAACTATGCTACAATAGGTATATATAAACACACAGCAGATGAGTGCGAAGTACATATATATACCTATTACCAATGCATGGTTATTTTTAGAATACCTACTACCAATTCATGAATTTTTCTGTGTGGTAACTTCATATTTCACAAAGTTTATTTACACCGACAGGTTAAACTTTAGCACGCAACAATAGACTGGGCAAGAGATAATGAGCTAGAGAGATGACAATTTTTGTAGAGAATATAACATACTAATCGATCAATTATAGTACAACATAGAAAGCTTATCACAAACTTCGCTAATGCATGCATGCATAACAATAACCTAAACTTAGAATATATGGATATTGGATAGGGCTAGCTGATAGAAAACCTACTAATTGCAATTAACGGAACACACACAACAAATAATATAACTATGACGGTTACATGATATTTTTGGATGACACAAACTCATGTAATTTGTTGCATTGCATATTACCAATTGATTAATTGTTAATGGAATGGCCAACACCAGGACTGTGACCAGGAGTTGTGGGCCTAAAAGCTTCAGCATCTCCCTCAAGATTTCTAATGCTACGGTCCATCTGGCTTGGGCTGACAATAGCACTTTTCGTTGTGCTAGTGGCAATGTTCATTGCATTGGCAGGGGCAACGCCCGGTGACTGAATGTTTTGTCTCAAATTTCTACCCTCACAACTGAGTAGTTCATGAGACAAAAACATTAGTACAAAGAGGAAGCAAATGCGAGTGGAATGAGCCATGGATATAATGAGAGGAGGATGAGAGAGTAGAGAACTAAGGAAAAAGAATATGAGTTAAAGGGGGTAAATGTGTCACGGGTGGAAAAGATGGGTGTTTGAGCAATGAATTGATGGAAGATTGATGTTTGAAAGGCCACCTCCCAAAGAGTATTTATAGACCCCAAAAGGAGTCTCCAAACTCACGGTCGAAATAAATAAATAACTAAAAGCTACTAAAGCATCAAGGTAGATTCCATATAATGACTGAAGTTTCAACTGCAAATATATATGCGAGTATGCTTATGGAAAAAGGAAGGTAAAAAGCTAATACTCTCATATAATATGAGATAAAATAAGGAAGGTAAAAAGCCGATACTCTCATACAACATGAGATAAAATAAGTTATTATTTAATAGAGAAAAATATAAAAATAACAAAAATTGTAAAAATTATTGTAAATGTAATATTATTCAAAAGTTAAAAACTAAACTGAAAAAGTAAAAGGTCTTGATTCATTGTTCGGGTGAAGCGAAAGTGTTTCATGGGACACAATTAATTTGTCCACACATGCAACTTTATTATCCCATGGACGTTATACGGGAGAAATCAGAAAGAATATGCAGGTTATATGGACCTAGGGGCCATCTTATTTTGACAAAATTTAAGTGGGATTGAAGTTAGATATATCAAACAATTCTGATTATTATATACCTAAACAGGGTTAATATCCGTTTAATATATTTTTTTCTTTACTATTTTTCTTCCCTTATCACCTCATTTTTGTACCTATTATTTTTCTTTCTTTTATTTTTAACCATCTCATAGTGTATATAGTTCAACATGTATCTACCAAACATTTTCTTTAATCAAACTGTAACACTTTTCTATTGAACAAAGTAAAAGAAAAAAACTTGTCTCACCTGCATAAGATAAAAAAGTAAATATATACATATAATGAATGTATAAAAAGAGTGTAAGAAATTCAAAATTCAGGTAAAAGATGTTAACCAAAGCTCAAGTATATCCTTTCGGTAGCTGGTACACCAATCCTCTGGCGTGCATGACATGTTCCTAGATGTGATTCTTTGGAGCATAGAAACAAAAGCAAAGGTGGAGAACTTTGACTGTATTCCAAGGCATGTCATAGTGGTGAATTTCGGTCACAAATGTGTTCTAAGGAATTGGGAAACATACAATGAGTAATAAGTAGGTAGCTGTGGTTAAGTAGTTTCACTATTTAAGAGTTTTGTATTTATGTGAATACTTCTAATACTCTTTTTAATAAAAGAATGTTTTAATTAATTAAAAATTCACGGCTTTTTAATCATTGTTTTAGAGAGCTTTTTATTGAAAATTGCATGTAACTAAAAATATCAACACATCTTCACATTTTTTTGTGATTTTAAACTAAAAAATATTTATTAACATTTTAATTATTGTTTTAGTGATAATGTTTAATAAAAAGATTATGTTAAGAGTTGAAGATAAATAACTAATAATATTAAAATTTTATTTAAAAAATATTTATTATATTTTTATAACTTTATTATAATAAATACGTATTTTTAATTTTCATAAAAATTTCTATTTATTGATACTAAAAGGCTTAACAAAAAAAGAAAGCCTCACTAAAAACATCATTATTAATTTTAACTTTTGACGTATTTAACTGTAAACATTCGATCTATTAGAATTAAAATTTGGATAAAAAAAATAACTTAATTAAGCACTCATACAATAACTTATTTTTAGATGAAAATTTATATTATAAATTTAATAATAAAATTTATTAAAATAAATATAAAAATTATAGGCTATTATTTTATAACTATGTTGAACAACTTCATTTTTGCTCATTCTCTGCTGCCAATAATTTCACAACTGAAAGCGGACATTTACGCACAAAAAGCATAACTAAAACCATGAGTTGTCCTAAAACAGTAGAGTGGTCATATTTGTGAATAATAATAACTCGGCTTTATTAAGAACAATCATTATGAAAATAAATACATGATCTGCATTATCTAACGTTAGCCTAACTATATGCATTTCTTGTGTTTGCCTAATTTGAAGAGAGACAAGCTAGTTCATTACCTCTGGGTGTGTGTGTTAGTAAATGGACTTTAATGTGTTATTCGACACTTGAAGCCTAAAAGGCAAAGCTTTTGCATGAGGGAGTCGAGTAGTCGTATGACGAGTATTCTACATCTTAAACTTGAGTTTGGTCCATAATTACAAATCTGAAAAAGAAAATTTTGCACGTGCATGAGGTTACCAATTTTATATACTGATACTAAATACCCTCTCTGGCTGCACAGAGAAGAGGGTGTTCTGTCGTATGCTGAGTTATAAAAAAATTACAATGGAGAGAGCATCGGTCTTAGAATATTCGCATTTAAATACGAACACAGAAGAAGCTCTGATGAGTCAGTGGTGCAAGTTGCAGTGTCTCAACCGCTACTATGCAAAGACAGATCACAGAGAAGAGAGCAGTGAAGCACATGGTGGTGGATTTGACACTTTTGATCATCCACACATTGTCGTTCTTTTGATTCCTTTTGTCTTTGAACATGACGCTTTTTAAAGGTAGATGCAACTGTTAAAGCTTGACAATTAATAAATTAAGTAATCATCACAGTACAATATTTAACTCAATCAATTAATTAATGAGGAATCTAGCTTATACCGCAGGCTACAACATAGGATCCTCAAGGATTCCCTCTCAGATTTGCGGCTGCTCGATATTACCACATTAACCATCTCAACCATTTCATTAGCCTGCGGACATGAGAGCATTACTTCAATCTTATTCAATCAAATAAATAAATAATTTATTCAAATTAATAAAGATAACTATGTATTAAATTTTTATTATGTTCCCAAAATATCTATAGTATTAAATAAGTAATTTCTTTTTCATAAAAATATTTCAACTGAAATACATATTAAATTTTTTTATTAAATGTATTCAAGTTTATTCTGATTAAAGTCAAATCTTATTATTATATCAATTATTTATGTTAAAAATTTTAATGATAAAAATTAACTGTGTAAAAAATAATAATTTTATAAATTTTATAAAATATTTTATATTAAAAAAATATATAAAAGATTTCTATACAAACAACTAAGAAATATATTAACTTATATTTTAAATAAAACAATATATCCACCAACGAATATTTTATTAAAATAAATTTAATAAATAAAAATATAAAAAATAAACTATTCAAAATAAATTTTAATTTTATAATCAAAATTGAAAATTAAAATTTTAAAAAATCATACTTTCACTTTTTTTGTAACGCGTGATCATACCTTGATTTGACAAACAGTATAATTGCTTACAAAATACCGTATCTAATTCGATTGGAAAAAAATACATAAAGCGAAAAATATAATTATTTTAATAAAAATAATTATTAAATTTATTAACTTATTTTTATAAAGATATTTTAAAATTTTTTAATTATTTAAACAATATAAATATTTTATGCAAATAAAATAATTTCATTAAAAATTGTTATTATTGTTGTATTAAATTTTATGCAAATAGATAAATAAAAATATTTTTTCTCTTTTTAGATAAATAAATAAAAACAAAAATCACACTTCTTTTTTCTTTCTATTTATAAAATTTTTGTAATTAAATTATATAAACTAAAAAACCTGTTAATCAATGTTTAAAAAAATTGATTGAAGACAAGAATAAAAGGAAATGAAAATAATTTATAAATATTTTACTTAATAAGTTTGTATAAATATTAAATTAAAAACTTTTAAAAATATAAATTAAATTTTACTGATAATTTTATTTTGAATTCAATATATATTTTTAAAATTTAAAATATAATACGTGTAATCAATATAAATACGTGTAACTCTTAAACAATATAAATATTTTAAAATTTAATATATATTGAGTATGAACAATTAATTATGTTAAAATTTAATACGTGTAATCAATATAAATATATAATTTTATTTCATGGTTTGATTTAAACAAGATAATGTTAATAGAGTAGTTTTTAGTGTAACTCTTGTTAAAATCATTCTTACAATAACCTGATGTTCCTCTTAATAAAAAATAATATTTTATTTTTTATTTTTTAAAAATTATACTAACAAATATTTTATTTATTGTAATTAGAACTTTATATCAACATAAATATATAAAAAATTAATTAATTTTGTCTTAAAATTCTATATAGAAAGATAAACAGTAACAAATTAATTTTCCTCTTTTAAAAATAAGTAAAATAAAAGTAATAAGTTCTTATAAAAAAATTGCATCTTACGTTGAAAATCATAAAAATATGCATATATTTTTTTTAAAAGAACTAGTGGTTTTGTCTTCCAATTTAAAAGTTAAATTTAATTTTGTTCTTTAATTTTATTTTGATTTATTTTAGTCCTTTAACTTTTAAAAATATTTTAAATAAGTTATTTTTCATTAAAAATATTAACCTTGTTGATATTTTGTATCTTCTTTTGCCATGAACACTTTTCATACATTATTTATCGTCTTCATTTTCAAGCCCTTCGTGCATTGCTTCCTTCATGCATTGTTTCTTTATGGGCTTGCAAGAAAGCAAGGAAATGTTATTTAGGAAGGTCAGCAATTTAATATACATGGGTCATTATGTTTTTCATGTTTGTCAAAGACAAATCCCTGGCCATGTGTTTCTGAACAATCATAAAAGATTTCGACCATTAAGACCAATACCACCGTAAGAGGATCCTTATAAATCATTTTATAAAGATGAGGTTTTTGGGACTAAACAAATTGAGAGAAGCCATAAGATGAAGTACAATGAGAACAAATTGAGAGAAGGCATAAGATGAAGTACAATGAGAGGGCGGGAATAATTGGTCATTTTATGTTTTTAATGACTTGATATATTTTACCTATTTTCTTGTTAGTACAATAATTGGCCATTTTGATTGACTCTTATTTTTTCCTCATTTTACTATGATTGTGTATAGATTGTACAACCAAATGCACTGATATTCATCATTTT